ACCCTGGTCCTGGAAAGTTCCCCGCGGGCCGTCCTCAGCTGCCTGGTACAGCCCCCGGCCCCCCGTGGCCCCCCCACCCACTGCAGTGCTGCCGTGGGGTGCTCAGCCCCTCGGGGCGATGGGGAGGGGCATTGTGGGTGCCTGGCTCTGCCCCCAGGGATAGAAACACGTGGGGTGAAGATGGCACTGGAGAAGCCAAGACCCCCCCCTTCTCCGGTGACCCCCTCGCCTCCTGCTGCCCCTCCAGCTCTGCCAGGCAGGTGCCTCCTCTTCCTCACCCCACTGCAGTGCGTCTGTGCCCCCTCCCCATGCCCAAACGATGGCTCCAAGCTGGGCATCCCCCCTGTGCAGCCCACCCTGCCCAGGGCGCCACTCTGCCGGGGGCAGAGTTAAGGGGGCCGGGGCTGCTCCCAGCGTCGCCTCGCCCCAGGTCCATCCCAAATTCCCAAAGCTCCTGCACATCTCACAGCTGGAGAAGCTGCTCTACAAGCTGGGGTGGAGGTGCTGCAGGAGGGGCCCCCATGGTGCATACAACCGCTACCTGTACAAGATCCTTTTTGGGGAGGACTCCCAGCCGGCCGACCACCTCCTGGCCACATCTGCCCACCTTGAGGGGGAGGCTGCAGCTCCCGCCGTGCGGGGTCACCCAGAGCCCGCAGCGTGGGCGGACACAAGCACCAAGCCCCCCGAGCCCCCACAGCTTTGACACCACCTTCAAGTCCCTTTTCTTTGGTGACAAACCTTTTCTACGGGACTTTTCCAACCAGAGCAGCAGCAGCGGCAAATAAACTGGGTCTGGCACAACGCGAACAGCTCCCTCGACCCTGGGGCTCTGCACCTTCCCCTCCCCTGCCCCCCTTTGCTAATGCTCCCCCCGAGCGGAGCTCAGCCCACGGCTCGCTGCTGGCCTGGCCCAGGTTATTATACAATTGCATACGATGTGCACGCACGTATAGGTAAAGCTACCGTGTCCCTGGGGCTTTTTCTTGGACCTTCTGGCCCTTTGGTCCCCGTCCTGGGCCAGAGGGGCGCGTTGAGTGAAAATGCTGGCATGCACCTCGGCAGAAGCTGCTCTTTACTCGACCCCCCCCCGCAGCCAGGGCAGCGCGGGCAGGTCCAGGCATCCCTGGGGAGGGGGAAAGGCAGGGTGGCAGGGGCAGCACGGGGGGGCCCGGGGGGACTTGGCGTTCAACACGAGCTGGACCTCCGGGGATCCTTGCAGATGCCGAAGTCGCTGTTGGTGATGACGCCCACGATGGTCTTATCAACTTCACAGGTCAAGCCGCTCTCGCAGGGACACTTGTAGTAGACCCCATAGAGGCTCTGTGGGGAACCAAGGCACGGTGCAGCATGGGGGACATGTCCCTGTCCCCAGCCACCCCGGGGAGCAGGGGAGCACATACCTTCGGGGAGCATTTCTGGAACTCGGCCGCCTTGGGTGCGCATCGGGCCAGGCTCAGGCCGCTGTCCCGGTGGCAGCAGCAGCTCTGGCACTGGGCGCTCTGCAGGCACAGCTCCCCGGTGTCCTGCACGGTGAGGCAGGGCGTGAGCACCAGGTCCCCCTCTGTCCCCCCCTTAATGCCCCCCAGCTGAGGGCCCGGGGGAGGGCAGGTTTAGGTGGGTGTCAGACACCAGCTCTGCCTTTCGGCTGGGGCTCAGCACCGCTGCCAGCACACCCGAGCCTCCCACCCCGCAGGATTTCCACAGTCTGGCCCAAAATACCCCCTGCTGAAGTGCTGTTTTCTGCTGAGACACCGCAGGGAAAGCGCCCCCCCTCCCCATTCCTTGTCAGCCCCCCAGGGAGGGGGTCCTGGCTGGCACAGGCAGCTGAGAGCTTCAGTCCCATCCACTTTCAGGCTTCCCTGTCCCTTTACGCAGCTGCTTTCCCTGGCTCCGAGATCCTTCACATCCCTGGAAAATCCAGCACGCCATCTCTGCCTGCCTCAGTTTCCCCAGCCGCAATAAGTTTTGCTCTCGGCAGCTGCAGCCCCCACCGCGGGGCTCCCCCCCT